CTTCCTTCCAGCTACTCATTCTCCCCGTACGGCAGCAAATCCTCGGGAAGCGAAGAGAGCGAAAAATCTCGAGCTAGTCCTATTATCGGCTGTAAATCCAGCTCTGAATCCAAGGCCCTGGACATCTTGCAGCAACACGCCAGCCACTACAAGAGCAAATCCCCAACGGTGAGTTTATTTGGTGCTGCATTAACTAGTTCTCAGCGCTGGGCCTTTTGGTTAAGTCTGGCTCAGAACCTGTGGCTCTTCTCTCATGGATCCTACCATGATTGGACCAGAACCTGTGGCTCTTCTCTCGTGGATCCTACCATGATTGGAGGAGATGATGATGCACTTGTCCTGCCTGGTGGCTGGAGTTTACAGGGACTGGAGAAATCCAACAATTGCAAGGCAGCGTCAAAAATCTGCCCAGGATGGCCTGCCATTCCTTACAGATTCATGTTTGGGCCTTCAAACCCGTCTGTTTTTCTGCTTACCGTACAGATAAGCGAGAAGGCCTCTCAGGAGCGCAGCGGCTGCGGGATAGGAGGAAGCAGCGCAGGCTGCAGCAGCCTAGGGGGAGCCAGTGGCGCTGAGAGAAGCGTTGACCGGCCTCGCTCCTCCCCTTCACAGCGTCTGATGTCTACGCATCACCATCACCACCACTTGGGCTACTCATTGCTCCCAGCCCAGTATAACTTGCCCTATGCAACAGGTGAGTGCTTCTGCAGAGAGGGGTGTGATTTGGGAGTGGGGCGGGGGTCAGGATTCCAAATTCAGTTTTTATTGATTGATTCAATTTATGTAGCCACGTTTGTGGTTTTAACGGTCTTTGGGGATATCTTTGCTGTTCCTCTACAGGTCTTTCGTCTACAGCCATTGTTGCCAGTCAGCAAGGTCCTGCTCCTTCCCTCTATCCCCCACCCCGAAGGTGAAAATGGTAAGGACACCCGAACACACCTGCCTTGGTGGCTGTGGGGAGGAACAAGGGCGACGGTTTCATTGCTGGCTTCACCCCCCTTCAGATTCTAGGAAGAGCATCACTTATAAACCAAAGGGGACTGGCAACATATAAAGTGGCTTCAGCACCCTTATTTTCTTGTGGCAAAGTCCTAAGTAAAGAATCCAGTTGTGGCACAGGTGACAGCTATGGAACTGTCTTCGTCCCCACATTATTCTACCCCAGATGTATCTGTACCTCCTGGCCCCCAATTGAGACCTGCTTTCCTATTGTCTACGGAGATTCTCAGGTCATAGTTGTCCCAAAGGTGCTTTTCCAAAAGGCAACTGGACTTTCTTGTCATCATTTTTTTTTTTTTTCCTTCAAAAATGTTTTACTTCTCATCCAAGAACCTGACCAGAACTGAAGAAGCTTCTTGGATGAGAAGCAAAATGTTTTCAAGAGGAAAAACAAGAAGAAGAAAGTCCAGTTGCCTTTCGGAAAAAGCACCTTTGGGACTGCTTTCCCATTGTTCGGTTTTGATAAAATTAAAAATTGGGCCATGGCCGTAAGACTTAGCATTGCTTGCAGTCGCTTCTCTTAACCACAGAACTGCCCACTTCCTAGTTCTAAGCCCACCTGCTGCTCCAGCTGGGAAGGCCAGATCTCCCAAGTCCACCTTCCCAGCTGCTGTTACTCTGGCTCCACCCTGTGGCTGAGATTGAGTTTGCTGACAAACATCCCCCCCCCCCCCTTTTCTCTTCTCAACAGGACATGACTGATAAGGTAACCCGGGCTGTACCAAGATATGTGACTGGCTCACATGAGGAAGCGCTGGAAACTGCATTAAGACATCAGTTGAATGGTGTTGATTGTTCTGCTTGATGGTCCTGCCACAGTGTGATGCAGACTCTGCCCCTCCCCTGTTCAACACACACATACACACACGCTGAGCCCCATACGAGTTGAGTTATGGAGCTGGGACTTGCCGAAATATTTATTCATCTGACTTGGGGTGACTGGCCGTTTTCCAGAACTCTTCTGGGAAAGAGGACGGGGACCGTGGGCCAAGCAGCGTGACATCACAGGACCTTTGGAAATACGTTGGGGAGGAAGAGCGCCTGAGTTTTCAGTTCCACTCAAGGCTCCCTCTTGTTCCTGGGCTGCAGCCGAGAAAGCTATTCCAGAATTGGCCGAAGAGAACGTCCAGATGGTGGGTTTGGGGGTTCTTTTTTTTTTTTTTTCCCCTCAACTCTTTTCATTGGTGAGAACTAGTCACCTGGCACAAGCAGGTAGGTGGACTCTCGCAAAGAGCACCGGAAAGACGAGGCCCTCCTGCCTCACGTTGGCCTGGGGAAACTGGGGAGGAAGCAGGGAGGCCACCAGGCCTGCCACCAGCCCGAGTCATGTCAGGAACGGTTACCGAACTTCTCTGTAGCACTTTGCCTTGGGGCCTGCTGCTCTCCAAAAGGCCGTCCCACCAGCCGTTTTTCTAACCCCTCTCCCTGCTGGCGGGACTCGCGTGTGGCAAGGCAGCGGCTGCTTTGCTCCCCGGCACAAACAGCCTCTCAGTACCGCTACAATATGGCCTTTGGGCAGGCTGGTCCTGCTTCTGTCGGGCCCCACCCACCCACGGTGGCCCAGCAGTCAGGTGGCTCCTCTCTGCTTGAAGGGCGCCTGTCGCTCCTGTCTTCCCCAGCCCTTTGCACAGAGGAAAGGAAGCCTGGCTGCCACGGCGTGGCATGATCGTCTGGGCAGGGCTGCTTGATTTTTCAGGCCCTTCCCCACGCCTGGAAAACCCTCCCTTCCCGGCAAGGAACGAAGCTAAGGGCTGGCTGGGCCCTGCAGTTTTGAAATAACCAAGTTTTGACCTTGCTGAGACCACGAGGGCACACCTAGTGACCCGCCAGCCTCCTGCTGAGCCCTGCTGTGGGTTGCAGCTTCTACACGGGTAAGCAGGCAAGAAGCAGTTCCCTCCTGCTGAATGCCCCCTGGGCTGGCGACAGTTGCTAGTCCCCGTGCAGAACAGAGAGGCCCCTTTCTGTGCGTTGCCGGATCTTTGCCTGGCCGTCTCTCTCGTTCCCTGCCCCTTGCCAGTGCCCTCAAGGGACTCATCTGACTGGAGCTCGGCCCCCCCACCCCCTTCCCCTTGTTTCCTGCAGACCTGTCAGTTGGAAGGGTAAAGGAGGCCCAGCCTTGCCCTCCCCAAGCTGACTCTTAAGGAACGGGTGCTGTACGTGTGTCTCGGCGGTGCAACTTCCCAGCTCTTGTCTTTCTGTTCCCGTCTGTATGTTTGCGCGAGGCCACCTTCTGCCTCTTGGACTTTGTATATACTGTAAAAAGGAATTGTTTGAAATTTGTCAGGGTTTTTTTTGTCTAACCCCCCCCCCTCCCTTTCCCAAGCTCGAGGTCTCACGGAGCTTCGTCAGAGTACCTGGGGGAGGGAGGGGGCAGCAGGCGGCAGCAGAGGCTGCTTCATCTCCGGCACAAGTCTCGTTTGACAAGAGATTCCCACTGTCTTAAAAGCACATTGCGCAGTATTGCCGTGTGGCATTCTCTCTCTGCCCTTCTGGCACTTGCTTGCCCTTCCGCATCTTCTGCAGGGAGGAGGCCTTCCAAGAGTTGCCTTAGAACCATGACCTAGGACAGGGGTCTCCAAACTTGGCAACTTGGAAGACTTGTGGACTTCAACTCCCAGAATTCCTCAGCCAGTTTTGCTTGAGGAAAGCCGGCTGAGGAATTCTGGGAGTTGGAAGTCCTCAAGTCTTCCAAGTTTGGAGAGCCCCTGAACTAGGATCTCTCTAAACCCAGACGAGAGGCCGTCCTCGAAGGCAAGAACGTTGGGAGGTTGCAAGCCTTCTCTTAGCAGCGTAGTCCTGTAAGAAAGTTCAATAGCAAGAGTGAACGCTCACCCACCTTGATATGGGTCTTATGAATTCGTGACTCAGGTAGGCACAAAATACAACAGCCAAAATACGAGCCGTGCAAACTCCTGACGAGAGGTGCGGCGTCAGTGAACAAACCTCAGGGTACCTACTTTGAGGGGGGAGGCCTTTACAGAAGCACCATTGTTGTAGCAAGCTCTTGTCAAAATTGAGATAAGGAGTCCACTCCAGTTTTCTTTCGGGCCCGACTTTATGCTCCTGACCTTACTAGGTAAGGTAATTCGTATAAGAAATGGCCTACCTCAGCAGCAGGATCCTTGCCCTGTTGGGTGCATGCGAAGCTTTTGGCCTTTTGTTTGTATTGGTGTTAGTGTATTGCTGTTGTTGTTGTTTTTTTTAAAAAAAAAATACAGATAGTCATATTTGTGTTAAAAAAAATTATTTAACTGACGTTAGTGCACCTCCCAACTTGTGTTAAGGGCTAGAAATACATTTTCAGGTTCCAAGCTGCTTCTGCAGTTGTGCAAGTTACACGGAGGTCGCGCATTAGTGGCCTGGGCAGCTGGATCAATCTAGTAAGCAGACAGCTCTTTGCAGCCTACTGTTCACTAGGGATCCCCCCCCCCTTTGCAGAACCTCCTGAGTGGAGAATTAAAAACCAAAGATATAGTCTAGAGCAGTGTTTCTCAACCTTGGAAGCTTGAAGATGGGTGGACTTCAATTCCCAGAATCCCCCAGCCAGCGGTGCTGGCTGGGGGATTCTGGGAGTTGAAGTCCACCCATCTTCAAGCTACCAAGGTTGAGAAACACTGCTCTAGAGGAAAGCATAAGCCAATGTTAAAAAAAAAAAACCAGGAGTGGAAATGGTGGGGAAATGTTTCACGCTACTCTCTCAAATATTGGTATTTCACAAAACAAATTAACGTTTGGCCCTTTCCAATCTGGTATTCCACAGATAAATAGAACTGCAGATGAGGATAGGCACAAGGGGTGTCGAGTTCAGTCCTTTGGGTAACAACTCAGTCTGAGGACGTGCCTGGGAACTGAATAAGAAGCCATGTTTTTTTCACCTTTCATGCCAAGAATTCAGTTGTCATATGGCTTTTAACGTAGGTCATAAGCAAAGGGCAAAAAAGCTGGACTCGTGGAAGATATCTATATATCCAAACCCTCCCAAAAAGGCTTTTGAACCAAGGCACTATATAGGATATTTTATTGGCTCATCTAATATCCACTGCAAGGAAGTTGTAACAAGCCGAGAATATTCATGAGCAACAACTTTATTCTGCAAACTGGGTATCATTATGGCTAAAGTTCAACTAAATGCGTTTTCTTTTTTCCTACACTCGGAACGAGATAAATACCGGTAGTAACAAATGAGGGGAAGAAAATTTGGTAGCACTAGTGAATATTTTTATTCTCTGCCAAATATGTACCTTCCTAAATAGAACAAGCTTGTAAATGTAACAATGGGGAGAAGAATTTTTTCCCTTTTTCTCAAAAATTGCATTTTGAATAGCCCTTGATCAAAGACTCTGAATTTTATTGAACTATTTCCTGGGTTCTGTAGAAATGTCTTTAAATATGATTTTGTCCCTCTAAAGATTAATTAGAGTTGGATGAAAGGAACTGAAAAGCAGTTCTTGTAACACACTGAAGCAAAAGAAAATGGGGACATTATGAAGCTTGAATTTAAAAAGCTACAATTCTGTTATATAGGCTAGAAATCTGGAAAAAACCAGTAAGCACAAATATTTTAAAGGTTAAGAGGCCAGTATAATTTAGGATCTAGCTGGCCTATGATGGCCACAGCCAGGAAAGCAAGCAGAACAAGTGAGATATCGTTTTTAGATGTCATAATTTGCAAGGGCAATATATTCAAGAATTTAAATTTAAAGACAGAGAAGTAGCCTCATCAGTCAAAAGGTGTGGTGAATGTAGAAGCCAACTTTACCAGCTGGTAGTCTGTCCAACTGGTGTATAATTCTTGGCTCAATGAGTTGTTGGTTCATGTCACAAGATGGTTTTCCATTAACTGGACAGTGCAGATTAAATCGCTTATTAAATAGCCAGATAACCCTAAATGACAAACCTATGTGAGGAGTATCTTCCCTTCCATTGTCTACCTATTCCATTATCTTTTTTCCCTTCCATTATCAATAGGTTACTGCAATAAATGTTCAGGTTATGGCTAATATTAAAGCCTGCAGTTGTGAGATCTGGCATTTTACGAGCAAAAATTGTGAGATGATGCAGAGAGTTTTGTTTTATTCTCATGATAATCAGTCCTATGTTGTCCCCCACTCCCTGCCCCCATCCCGGTACAGAAACCAGCCAAAGATCTGATATGAGATACTCCCCTCCAACCAGCAGGCGCTTAAAAGGCTGAAAAATAACTTATGCTGCCCTAAAATGCAGTGAGGCAAATCAAGACACAGACAGACTATAACTGGATACTAAGAAGAATTTCCTCCAAAGAGGCAGCAGCTTATGGTGCATCCCCAGGTGTTTGGGGTTTTTTTTAGGGTTTCCCTTCCATGATAGCCAGATGGCTCCCATTTTGCACAAGATGAATGCCAAAGAAGCGAAAAGTGCTTTGAATAACACAAGTAAATAAGACAAAGAAGAGTTTTTAGAATTGTATATTGTGAATGAAGTTTGAAGGAACTGGCTGTTTTAAAAGAAAGCATGATAGCAGTCATCTAATATTCCCAGGGGGGCATTTGAAGGAAGGATGAGGAAAGGAGATCTCGATTACATGAATTACTTTTAAGGAAACGTCTCCGATGCATTTTGAGGACGCATAAGATGGAAGTCTAATTAAGTGTCAAAATCAAGTTGCCTAAGGTTTTTCGGAATCCATAGACTTCAGTGTGGGGGCCAGACAGTCTTCCAAAAAATAAAGGGAGGGGGAGCTTGATTTGACTTGATTCTCTCTCCATTTCCCCAGAAAAGGGTGGCAACGCACTTCAGAAGCAAGGCCAGCTTTGCACCCTTCTTTTATCCCCTCCCCCTCCTCCTCCTCCTCCTCAATGAAGCTGCGCTAGAGTTAATACTAACCTAATAAAGCCAGAAAGAGGATAAAGAGTTTCTCGGAACCCTAGAGGTATTGGTTAACCCAGTGGTGCCATCATCTATTTGCCAAGAAAAGAAAAGGAAAAGCGAATGTTCCTCATATTTCCACACTCAAAACATCCCCCTGCTTAAGAGTCTGAGTGAACATATAAATATGCATTTGAAATGAAAGCCAAATATCCAAACTAATAGATAAGCCCAACATGTATGTAACAAGGAACTGAGGCTTCTCCCTCTCTCCGTCTGTGTGGGCTCCGTAGCCACCGGGTGGCCGGGCAGATGTCTTCGCTAGGCTTAACAGCGGGCCCCAGACCTCCATTTACCTTCCATTTACTATTGTGCAATTACATGTGCAGACTTTATATTATTCGCTAGGTAACACATTTCAATGGAAAAGTCAACTCAGAAGATATACAGGTCACTCTAACAATAAGAAATGCAGTTTCAGTCCAGAAGAATTTTGTTTTCCCTTTCCTCAGAAGAGGCCTTTTAGCCCCCTCTCGTCCTTGAAGCATGTCCAGGCCCCACTGAAATGCTGCACTAGGTCTAATCGTCATCATCATCATCATCGGAAGAGACCTGATCCAGGGGGTAGACCATGAACAACACATCTGGCCGTGATGGGACACAAGGATGACCAGGCCTCACAATTTCAAAACCCAGAAAACTGAATGTCTTCAGTAACGGAGCTGCCAAAACAAGAAGAAAATGTGCAAGATCAGATAAATACAAAGCCATTGCTCTGAATCTCTTGTTTACATAGGGCACAACGCAATTGTTGTTTCCCAAACCAGCCCTATCCTTCGTGTAACTTGTGCAGCCCGTCCTAATTTTCTGTCCTGTGTTGCAAGACGATTGGTAACTGGCCCTAGAATACAGGTAGCCCTCGACTTACAACCACAATTGAGCCCAAAATTTCTGTTGCTAAGTGAGAAATCGGTTAAGTGAGTTTTGCCCCCATTTACTTGCCACATTTGTTAAGTGAATCACAGCAGTCCTTAAGTCAGTTACACGGCTGTTAAGTGAATCTGGCTTCCCCGTTGACTGCTTGTCGGAAGGTTGCAAAAGGCGATGGATCACATGACGCTGGGATATTGCAACAGTCGTAAATATGAATCTGTTGCCAAGCGCCTGAAATTTTGATCATGTGACTGGGGATGCTGCAACAGTCGTGTGAAAAATGGTCATAAGTCACCTTTTTTTTAATGCCGTTGTAACTTCAAACGGTCACTAAATGAACCGTTAAGTCGACTACCTGTATGCTGTCCAATCAATCAATCAATTCATCAAAGTCACATTATGAACAAAGATGAGTTTGCTCAGCTCGTGATGAGGGCTGCAAGTGGCCCAAGCCATGCGCAGCACATCAAAGACAGGTGCGATACTGCTTGTTGTCATTCAGCAGATACTCCAATGTGGAATCCTGACTCTTATCACAGAAATTTAATGGGGAGAGAAAATTACGCTGGCAATTTAAGTCTCTATCGGTAGCAATTATACCCTGAATCGTTAGTACTCAACTGGAAGGAGAAAATCCACACCCACGAATGAGAATGAATGAGAAAGCCAATTTTTGCTAACGTCTGCCTGCGTGAAAGAACGAGAGGATGGGAGCACTTACCTCTGTCTTCTCTGCTTTTTCGAAAGCAAATAAAGACATAATTTGCTTTCATTTTCTCTTCAGCAAATTCTAACAGCGCTAATAATCTGGCAGGCGGGGAGAAAAGAGAAGGTTACACTCAGCTAAGCTGCTAAACAATTCCATCATGTTCATCTCGGATGGTGTGTCCCTGCAATCGTTCCCCCAGTGTCGGTACTGATCAGTGGTGGAATTCAAATTTTACTACCTGTTCTGTGGGTGTGGCAAGGGAAGGATACTGCAAAATCTCCATTCCCTCTCCTGGGGGAAGGATATTGCAAAATCTCCATTCCCTCCCCACTCTGGGGCCAGCCAGAGGAGGTATTTGCCGGTTCTCCGAACTGCTCAAAATTTCCGCTACCGGTTCTCCAGAACCTGTCAGAATCTGCTGGATAGCACCCCTGGTACTGATACTTAGGCAAGAAAAACTCTGCGGAGGAAAACAGGCTGCACAGTACGTGGGGAAGGGAAAGGAAAGTTGGTCAAGATACTAACCACGCATGCCTGCTGAGTGGTTGGTTATTTGCACAGCAGGGGAGCACAGCTGTGTAAAACAGAAATCCAAAGAGGAAATGGGGACATTTACAGAATAGAGTTGGAAAGGACCTTAAAGGTCTTCTAGTAACACCCCCTGTTCAGGCAGGAAATCCATAACATTTCAAGTACTGAGGTCTGGATTTAAAGTTTGCATTTGAAATGCAGACCAGTAGATGGTTATCACAAGAGACATCCTATGGAATGTGTCCAGGGAGGGGCAGGGGGTCTCCTACTTCAGGCCAAGCTACGTCCAACTCCGAGGCAGTGGGCTAGGAGATGGATGTATAATCCATAACATTGGAGGGGATAAATGAACCCAACGCCTACATAACCATCTCTCTTTGCAGCTAGCCTTAAACAAATACTAAGCTATATAACAATCCTCTGTGGGTGCCTGCCTGCGTTAGGGAATAGTGTCACATTGCAGATGGTTTTCAGGTTATCCATTTAATAGCCTTATAGAAATTACCTGGCACAGGACAAACTGCTCTTCTCGCTTTGGTCCAAGGGTATCTTTGCTAACTGATCGAGCAAGTAGCAGATCAACAAGGTTTTAATCGGAGGCGGAAAGCAGCAGAGATTTTAACTTAGAAGGGATTTTGTTAACATCCATTTTAATTATAACTTCCAAGCTGCTTATTTTAGCTGGCTATAATTAATCAGTTATGCAATTGTACTTAAAGCACGCTGACAGGGGAAATTCCGCCGATCAAAGAATTATGACAAAAGGAAAGAATAAACTAGCTGAAGCCTCTTTATAACTGAAAGGCTCTAGCCTGCTTAATCCAAAGGGAAAATGTAACAGCGTGAGCTTTTTTTGGACGGCAAATCAATATTCAGCGGCAGGACTGATGCTTCCCCACCCCCACCTTCAAAATACTAGGAGCTTAAAGAGAGATAAATCTGTGCACAGCACTTGTAGGAGAAGTCAGGCGCCCGCAACCTGTTCCTATTGGTGATTATGTTCCTTGGGGCGTAATCTGTGGGAGTCTTGCACATGTCTTACCCTTCTTTGCTCCCTTCAGCTAATAAGCCATCAGGAATTTCCACAAAAAGACTCTGATTGGATAGCACTGCATCCCAGGAGGAGACCTTTACTTCCGTAACTTTGTACTGGAAGTGGACAATATGTGGTTTCCCATCATGCACTGGAAGATCTTGGTTAACAGTGAGCTTCTCATCCTTTAAGAAAGGGGAAAAGACATTTTTCAAGGGTTAGAACAAGTAAAGAGCAGTAAGTTCCCCGATTTCTCATTGCTATGGGAACCAACCAAAGCTGCTGCTATTTAAAGAACAATCGTAAAGCTTCAACTCGCTGTACTCAATGACCAACTGAAGTCCTATCTCCTGGGCAATCTCCAATAGGTACCCCAATTCATTCAAAGAAACGGAACAAAATTCACGTCTTCAAAAACGCTTACACTAACAGAAACGGTCTTAGGAAAACCTAGCCTTGGCTAGCCAAAGAATTGTGTCGATATATTACAAGCACAATCCTTGACAGCTGCTCCATCTTACACTTTGCAAGACGGGAATTGGGAAACCAACCGTAAAGCAGCTTTAGAAAAATAAGAGAAAAAAACTTGGCCTTTGCAGATTTTTGATAAGCAAAACCAACCCAGAATACTATCCCACTTCTAAGAATCCAGAATACTATTCCATCTCTAAGCCTCATAGCAATGTTCCTTTTGATGGGGCAGCCAAATCTTGTGGATGTAACAGCTCATTGATGCTTCAGGTTCAAAAGAGACCCTTCTTGCCAACACAAAAGGAAACCTCTCTTTTAGTACCTATAAAGTTGTCCCTAGGTAGTTCTACACTGTCCAGAAATTTCATCGTTGGAAGCTTCTTCATTTGCCTCATTATTTTCGCCACCCAAGTTATAAGATATTTAGGAGCCTGTGATTCAGTACTCGCTTTGTAAGCGTTGTGGAAACAGAGCTCCAGGGAGAAGCGCAGTTGGATGATTACCGAAGATCACCCTAGGGGGGAAAATTGGAACCCATACTTGTTTTCTTCCTTATGTGTACTCAAAAATCTACACCGACTGACCTGATGCAAAGCACCCTTTCATTATATTTTCTCACGTGTTGGATTCTTTTTTCTTTTTTAATGTAAGAAGGCAATTAACACCGAGAGGTGCCAGAAAAAGTACCAGAAGTCACTTATTTAAAAAGATCTCCAAGGCAACCAGCCCCCAAAATAATGAGCTTCCAGAAGTAGCATGCTTGATTTACACAGTGCAGTGAAGGGGGGAGGGGGGGACAACGGGGTGGGGGTGGGGGTGGGGGGACGGACAGAAACGAGAAATATTCAGAGTGTTCTTGACAGTTTCTACGAAGCGAAGTCGTCTCGCAGCAAAAAGCCCAGGAGATGCGGAATTAGGCTCACCTTATATATCAAAGCTGAAAGAGAAGGATCCCTGCCAACCCCTCGCCCACCGGGGATCTTCGACAGTGGGTGAGGGGCATCAGGAGCACCACAGAGGCCCTGGAACAATGTGCCTGCAGCACGGTACTTGGGGGCAGTTACTCAAAGGTAAGATACTCCTGGAAAGAAAAAGAGCACCAAGGTGAGAACCACAAACCCCAGCAAGGTTCAAACGAGGCTCGGGAGCGCAAAATCCTTGTGGCTGGCCACTATATCAAGCTAAAGGCAGGAGGCCCTCGCAGGAGATCATCTGAGCAGTTCCATTTTTCAGCTGGCCGAGTGATCGCTACATTTTTCAACAAAACAGCAGAGCAACAAGGTGTTTCAAAAAAGGGGGGTTTGGTTACATATTTTCCAGGTAATAAGCCAAGGCTGTTGCAACGTTCAACCTTGCAATATCTTATTTTAATATTTAGGCGATGCGCCACCCACGTTATCTGCCGAGCGAAGAATGTTTCAATGCTTTTGTGTCCTACACTGCAGTGTTTTTCTCAAGCTCGGCCACCTTTCAGATGGGTGAACTTCAGTTCTCGGAATTCCCCTGGGGGAATTCTGGGAGTTGAAGTCCACCCACCTTAAATCTGACAAGGTTGAGAAATAACTGCTATACTGCATTCATCTCATGCTTTTGATTATCCTATTTTAATTACAGCCTTGTAAAGGGTTTAAATCTCAATCTGGCAGCAAAGATACAATAGGTATTAGCAGGGCCCCTCCCATGCCACACCCTGTCTCAATATAACATCTACACAGGTGCAGCTGGCTGCAATGTCCTTTGTACTGGTGCCGAGACACACACTTTCGGCGCTACTGATGTTTTGCAAAAACAGACACTGTAATTTCTCATTTCTCCCAACAGGCCACGAGGCTAGCTATAATCCAAGATGCACAACATTGCTTATCTCATACCAGGGTTTTATGTGTTATTGTTCCTTTTGCTCAGAACTAGGAGTTATCTTTAAAGACATTCTAAGAAAACACCTGCAAACTCATGCTGTATTTTCTAAACTCTGTAGACAAAACAAGCAGAATCTGGGATGAAAGGGGTATCATTTTATGGTCTCTTTCTGGTATCACTTTGCAGTCTTTCTCACAGCCTCCAAAACCAGTTCAAACATGTGTTGATGCCAGCTGCACATACAGATAGTCCTTGAATTACAAGAGTTCATTTAGTGACTAGAATTGAATTGAATTGAATTCAATTCTTTATTGGCCAAGTGTGACTGGACACACAAGGAATTTGTCTTTGGTGCATATGCTCTCAAGTTACAACGGCACTGAAAAATGTGACTTATGACCACTTTTCAGAGTTACGATCTTTGCAGCATCCCCATGATCATGTGATCATCTTTTGCGACCTTCTGACAAGTAGCCAATGGGGAAGCCAGATTCACTTAACAACCGGATTACTAACTTATCCACTGCAGCTATTCCCTTAACTGCGGCAAGGAAGGTTGTAAAATGGGGCGAAACTCACTTAACAAATGTCTCAATTAATCACCGAAATTTTGGGCCCCAATTCTGGTCCCAAAGTTGGGGAGCACCTGTACTTTGCTGCCTGAACAGGACACCTGGATCAAGAACCTCCTTGGCAATCCTGATTTTCAAAACTGAGGCTTGAGGAGGCTGGCCTGTTCTTATACAACAGACTCAACTGCCTTTTAATGGAACACAATTAAAATAGGCAGCAGCAACACCCAACCGAGTGCTAAATTGGAAGTCAAGCAGCTTGTGCACAACAAGAACAACAAAATCGTTTCTTTTTAATCCCAAATCCACTCTGCCCATTCAGTGATACAAAGCAGCTGCAAACGAGGCTGCTAGCAAAGGAGTTTGCACACAACCGACTTTGGCCCGTCTTCATCATCCACATTCGCTGCAATAATTGACTGGAAAAACAGCCCTTCTGTCAGGCTGGTGTCTGGCGGAGACTGGGAAAGCATAATGCTAGACTGTTTTGTTTTTGTTTGGGGGTTTTTTGTCCACCCCTCCCCACCGTAGCCTCCAATACAGCTGGCAGATGTGCTTGTTTTCTCCACTCAACAATACAGCATTATTGTTGCTCCAGAGGAAGCTTGAATAACCAAGTAGAGCCATGAAAATTAAGATTCCCACCATCAACTACCAGCAGGAAGCAGTTCATTCTTCCTGGATCAAAGCCCTTAACAGGGGTGTCCAACCTTGGCAACTTTAAGACTTGTGGACTTCAACTCTCAAAATTCCCTCTGACAGTCTTAAAGATGCCAAGGTTGGACACCCCTGATAATAATAATGATGATGATGATGATGGATAGAATCAAGATGACGTGAAGTGTTAATAACACTTTATAATGCCTTGGTAGGGCCACACTTGGAATACTGCATCCAGTTTTGGTCACCACGATGTAAAAAAAGATATGGAGACTCTAGAAAGAGTGCAGAGAAGAGCAACAAAGAGGATGAGGGGACTGGAGGCTAAAACATATGAAGAACAGTTGCTGGGATTGGGTATGTCTAATCTAGTGAAAAGAAGGACTAGGGGAGACAGGAAATTTGCATTGGCATCCTTCAGTCTCAAAACACTATGGTATCATGTTCTGGAAAGAGGTCCTAAAACAGCATCTAGTGTGACTAAAAAGGCCAATTCAAGAGTGCCAATCTCTTAGCTGCCCAATGAGGTACAATGACCTCTCCCACCGACGAAAGTGGCCCTGGCGTCACGCTCTACGCCAATCAAGTAAAGGCTTATACCGGTAACTGCCATTTCCCGTGTTGTTTCAATGCTGTATGCAAAGCTGGAGTGTCCTCTCCAGAGGACGAGGCCTGGGTACAAACTGCTTCCGGAACAGGATAGCAGTCTTCCAATATCTCAGGGGTTGCCACAAAGAAGAGGGAGTCGAGCTATTCTCCAAAGCACCCGAGGGCAGGACAAGAAGCAATGGGTGGGAACTCATCAAAGAGAGAAGCAACCTGGAACTAAGGAATTTCCTGACAGAACAATTAATCCGTGGAACAACTTGCCTCCAGTAGTTGTGAATGCTCCAAAAGTTTTGGAGCTTCTGGAAGTTTTTAAGAAGATATTGGATAACCATTTGTCTGAAGTGGTGTAAGATTTCCTGTCTAAGTAGGGGGTTGGACTAGAAGACCTCCAAGGTCCCTTCCAACTCTTGTTATTCTATTCTATTCTATTCTATTCTATTCTATTCTATTCTATTCTATTCTATTCTATTCTTGATTGATTAATCCCACATAACTCTACTGACTAGGACAAAAACTCCTTGCGATGCATCCGATTCCATTCTGCAGTAGCACTAGCGGTTTACCAGTCAATTCCACCAATTATCTCTGAATGTCACATAATTTGTCCTAATACGGGGCTACATCCAGAAATGTTTTAAACAGCCTGACAACATAAATTATGTTTATTAATTACAATGAAAGATTAATAATCACAATGAGTCTTGCACACTTGCCAATATTGGCAAGTGTGCAAGACTTTTTCATTGTGATTACAATCACCACTGATGACTATGTGAACGTGAACTAATTTTCAAGGGTGGGTGTATGTATATGAAACACAGTTAAGCTCTTCCATTCCATAGTAATACCCACAATGTGCTAGTAGGATAGAGTAGGGGTATGTTTCAGTCAGCTAAAAAAAGAAAAGATACGGTAACTGATCTTGCAAAGATTTCAGAAACACAAGGTAGTATTTAACCAAATATTTTACTGATTATGGGATAGGGAGTCAAGGCGGGAGAATTAAACCCATGGGCTTTTGAGAGCATTACAAACATTCAGCCTTTCTGCCATCTATTTGTTCAGGGAATGCAAAGGTGGTGCCTCCAAGGTGCAAACAGGGAAAAAATTGAGAGAATTAAGCCCACCAGCCAGTCTTGTGGCTTTGTCAAGGAACACAAGGATGGCATTAATGGTGCAATTGAGATAAAAATCCGTCATTCTGAAAATGTGTCACGGATTTTGTAGGACAGTGTATGAAACAAGATTGGTTTGCAAGGTTAAGGGGAGTCCTAGTAAATGATAGCAATATCAGTTTGATTTTAGCTTCCTTACCACTGCTGACTCTTGCTTTGCATATTATTATTTAAAAAAAAAGAAGTTAACACCGTATTTATGCATAACGAAGAGCAGATTTCCTTTCTAAATGTATTATGAATGGTAAATTCCCAACCAGCAGGGTTTCATGTAATGGTTAAGGCATCAGACTACAAACTGGGAGACCAGGAATTCTAGTTCTGCCTTGGGCACAAAGCCAGCTGGGTGACCTTCAGCTAATTGCTCTTTCTCAGCCCCTGGGAAGGGGGAAACAAGGGCAAACCATTTCCGAAAAACCTTGCCAAGAAAATTGCAGGGATTTGTCCAAGAAGTCACCAGGAATTAACACTGACTCGAAAGCACCAAAAAAAACAAAACAAAAAACAGGGGAATAATTTGTTGGATGTAAATTCTGGATACTTTGGTCCCAATTACAAAAGGTACCGAATTGAGAAAAGAGGTGTAAAAATTATGAATTATCAACACGCTAACCAACTTACCGCATCGTACTGGCTGGCCTATATTTTCCTGTTTTGAACTGAGAACAAAGGTGCAGTCTTTTGAAAATCAAGTGTATGAATTATAAACATTTCCTGGCAGACACATGCCCAGCGTGGGAAACAGACTGATAAATACAAAGGATTGTATATAACTCACTAAAACAGAGTGGATGTTAAAACTCCCAAGGCCAAACTTCCTCTACAGTTTCAACTCCTTAAGCGCTGTATTTTCAAGCAGAGGAAAACCCAAGATAGAAAAAACAAGCATTTTGCAGATAGGGATAAAAGAAATCTGGCTGAACAATGAAAAACACATTTTATAGTTGCTATGCCAAACCTGATGGGTTTTTTTTTCCAGCCAACGCATTAGTAGAAACAGATCTAAAATTACTTGGATCTGACACTTCGAAGAGGGAGGGACACTTGCAAATAAGTTTATGTGGAGTTTATAAACTGTATAGTTAAAAAAGGACCATTCCCACCCGTATTGCTAGCTAGGCCTCTGGAGAGATGGAATTACTTCACCGTTTACGTAACACCAAAGGTCTTTAAGTAGATTAGAAAACCCTCCCTGATGAGAGCTTTATGGGTAGGCAGCACCCAGATTTAACAATTAACCACTACCTCATATTCTGACCTGCGTTACATTTCAGATAAATTTAGGATCAGACCAAGAGGACTTTCATTTTTAAAGTTCACCAATTACTCATGGCCTCGATAAAATGAAGAAATTCTTCCTTGCAGTAACTGTAAATAAACAGCCTTCCTGTTTTGCAAACCATTTCAATCACACAGTGCTTGCCAATTAAAGTGAAAGCTTAACTTGCAAATATTTAGAGTCAAGATAAAACTTTCACCACCACCCCTTTCCTAAAGATAATTTAACGTTTTGTTTTGGAAGGAAGGAGAGCTGCATTTCTCTGAAAAACTGTTGCTGAAGGCACTTGAGCGAGTCTGATCCTTAAATTCAATTCTCAGCTTGGAAGATGCTCCTTCCACAAACTGTTAAAATAGCATTTTTATCACTTCAAATCCTTCAAACTGATGCAGACAGAATTCTGCCTTCGGTTCAGTAATATTAGGAAAGAAATTGTGCTTTTACGCAGACACAACTTTCCCTCCGCTCCCAAAACTGTCTTCAGATAAACACTTCTAGGAAACCTACACGATGCAAGGAAAATATATACAACACCTTCCAAAAATAATTACTGGCTTCCGACCAATGCAAAACTACTATATAATAAAAACCCCACAAAGTACGAATTGTCATGTTGGAAAAAGGCAAATCACCATAACATGAAACTGCTTATGCTTCTTGGAATCTTAAAACTATTTTGCAAACCTCATTCTTTCAACTGCAAAAGGTCGCAGGAGTGCACGGGGAATAAAGCAAGCCCATAGGTGCATTTGATCTTTTTCTCCATCCAGGTGACACAACTCCTTTCCATCTGTCCCCAATATAATGGTGACTTTCCATCAGGAGTTTGGCATGGAACGCCATCAACCAACCAACCAACCTACTTCTGGGAACAAAAGTAATTGCAGCATGTATAATCTTGGGTGTAGCTATGGCTGCTTTTATCGTAGGAAAATTCAAATCGGGGAAAGAGCCATTCTCCCAGAAAACATAGCCAATTTCAAAACACAAGCCCCCATCTTTTATTTTCCTAGCATAAAAGACAGAGCAAGCTGCTTCTTTTTTTTAAAAAAAAGGCTCCTGTAGACCAGCTATTATCCATGCCAACATCTTCGCATAGTAATATCATCTCAGCCTTCCATCCTTCTTCCAAGGTCGGTCAAATGAAGACCCAGATTGTTGGGGGGCAATATGCTGACTCTGTAAACCTCTTAGAGGGCTGTAAAGTGGTATATAAGTCTAAGAGCTATTGCTATCTATCCCACCCTGGGGAAACCTGGTTTCCATCAAGCACCAAACAGGGACTTCGGTGCTCTTGGGAAGGCCTCCAAAGGCACCTGACTTTGGACTTGAGCCTTTAATTTTCTGGGGGGGGGGGGGGGGATTGAAAAGCACCTAACTCCTACATCCTAGGCTGAGTCACAACAGACATGCCAATTGTTTAAATAAAATAAATATTAATATAAAATAAAATAAAAAAACAAGGTCTTCTCCCAATACAGAGAACAAGTTTTGGACCTCAGCCAAGGTAGTCCAAGCCACATCTTCCTTCCTTCCTTCCTTCATCCACCTGTCGATTTCCACCTATTGTCCAGTCGTTCAGAGCTCCCTGGTCACTTCTGCAACCCAACCCTGTCTTGCTGTCTGGACCTTCACCAAGGGGGAAGGAAGGGGTGTCCCAGGATGCCCAGAAACGCCGCCCCTTCGCCCCCCTCTTTTGCCCAGATGAGTTTCTTTGTTAGCCAAAGCAGGATTTTGCACCCCCTCCCTCCTTCCTTTCCAGGGAAAACACCTGAGGCTTCCCTGGCACTCAACAGACCTGAAAGACAAACCTGGCCTCCCCACCAGTCCCGTCAACCCTTCCCTCCCTCCCTCCCTCCAGCTGGCCAGGAGAGCCCCCCAGAGCAGCCTTGCAACCCGAGGAAGCCCATTTGGTGGGAAATCCGTGGGCGACCACCCTGGGGGTGGGTTGGGGGAGGGAGAAGCTTAAAAAGTGAAAGCTCTTTGCAACACAAGAGGAGCACGTAGGTGTAGGTGTGTATGTGCATGCATGCAAACGTGCTCCAAGCCTGGGCAAAAACAAAAAAACCGGGGGGGGGGGGGGGAAACAGCAGCCTCTTTCCTAGGCTCCGGGGATCCAAGGAGGTGGAGGGGATCCCCCCCACCCCACCCTCTCTCCACCCACCTTCCCCCCCCCCGGGCGGTGTGGACGTGCGGAGGAGCAGCAGCCCCGCCCCGCCCCCTCCGGCCTGCTGCTGCTGCTGTTGTTTTTGTTTCCTCTTCTTCTCTCTCGCCCCCCTCCCCAATTTTCATTCTCCCCTCCGTGCAAAGAGCCCCTCTTTGCACGGTGGGGAGGGGGGGAAAGAGCCCGAGGGAGGGGCAAGGAGCGACCTTCTTCTCCCTTCCCCCCCATTTGCCTCCTCCCCCCCTTCTCTTTGGAGCCCCCCCCCCCCGCCCTTTCGCTTCCCCCCTCCCCCCTCCTGATCCAGGCTTGCCAGCGTGGGAGGGGGGATGCTTAGGGAGCCCCCCCCTAACCCCCCAAAAAAGGGGTGGCGGGGGTGGGAGGGAGGGAGGCCTGGGCCTTGCCCCCTCCCCCCCCGCCCAGCCTCTCCTTTCTCCCCCCCTCCTCTCCCTCTCCCCGTACCTGTCCTGGGTGTTTATCATCCTCGGGGGTCGGGAGGAGGCGCTCGCTCTCAGCTCCTCCGTGGGCGAGCGAGGGCCGAGCTCCGACCGACTTGGGCTTGCTGGCGAAGGAAGCGAGAGCGAGAGCCGATGCCGCCGCCGCCACCGCCGCCGCCGCCGCCCGCCCCGTTACTCATCTGCATAGCCACGCCCCCTCCGCCGCCAGGCTGCCTGGGAAACAGGCCGCTCGAAACAAAGAGGGGGGGGGAGGGACGCGGAGGCGGCGGGGGGGGGGGGAGCGCGCGGAGACTCCGCCTCCCCGGAGTATTGCGCAGGCGCTGCCGGGAACGCCGGAGCGAGGAGGTAGGTGGGGCCTCCTGAGGGGAAGGGCTGCGCTTTACCTTCTTTTATCCGCCTGCTCCTGAGCATGGGTCTGTGCGTGACACACAGAGATTATTATATAGATATAGATATAGATATATATATATATTATTATTATATATATTATTTGTGTGTGTATGTGTGTGTATATACACACACACAAATTATTATATATATATATGCATACACACAAAACAATCTGCATATATATATATGTGTGTGTGATATATAGACACACACACGGATTATATTATAATTATATTATAATATAATATAAGATATTATAAGATATATATATATATATATATATCTTTAGCCAGGTTCTTCCTACACATAATACACATAAAGGTTACAAAAAGAAAAGAAAACATACACACACACACACACACACACACATATATATATATATATATACCATATATAATATTTGTGTATGTATGTGTATGTATGTATATATATGTATTTCTCCTCAACCGGGTATTTTCCTACGTAAACCAAGATTTTAAAATGCTGCCATAGTTCAGTGAAATCACAATTCACTAGTTCTAGGCTTTTCCAGACAACAAGCAAACAGTTTGCTGCCCTTTGGGAGACTAATATAGATCTATATATGTATAGATACAAATATACAAATATATATAATCTGTGTGTGTCTATATCATACATACATACACAAATTATATATGTGTGTGTCTGTAGGTCTTTAGTTATTTGGGTTTTCTTCCCACGTAGAATTGGAAGTGTCTTGGCAACGTTTCGACGAAGTCTCATTCGTCATCTTCAGGCTGGTGTTTTTGGCTTCGTGCTTGCTCCTAGAAGCACGAAGCCGAAAACACCAGCCTGAAGATGACGAATGAGACTTCGTCGAAACGTTGCCAAGACACTTCCAATTCTACGTGGGAGAAAACCCGAATAACCAAAGACCTACATACAAACACCTGCGAAAACCTCAAAAAACATACATATATATATATATATATATATATATATATATATATATATATATATATATATATATATATGTATATAAGTTAAAATCTCGGGTGTTTTCCCGCGTCATTAAAAGTCTGTTGGTTGAAATGCTTAAAATCCTGGCTAAAATCCCAACTTAAGATCCTCCAAAATCCCAACAAAACACTTTGTAAGGTCTTTTGAAACTCTGGCTAAAATCCTAACCAACACTTTAGAAGTTTTCTTTTTGGCAACGTTTCAATAAGCTCTCTAACTTGTCATCATTGTGCCCCTACTTTCAGTTTAGAAGCTGTGGGTGATTGGCCCAAAGTCACCCAGCCGGACTTCATGTCTAAGGTAGGACTAGAACTCCCTGTCTCCTGGTTTATAGGCTAGCCCCTTCACTATTACACTCAATCAGCCATCTTAGTACGCTGCGTGAGTGATTCACACATGACACCATGGTTTGTTCAACTCTGGTTTACGCGCAAGCTCAGCCCATGTTCCAAAGACCACAAATTTGCCTGGCAGCATTACTTGGCTATGACTTTCCCTCAGTCAAACACAGCTCACTTTGGGGGGGAAATTCAAAGTCATTTTGGAACCCAAGTTCAAACGAAGCCGATGGCTGTCATCTCTCCCCCCGTTTCTGATTCAGCATCCCATATTTGAGGAAAAGTTCTATTTATAGGCCTCAGGAAAAACAAAATTGGCCTTTCTCACAGAGGCCGCTCTGCCGGTTAATTGTTGCTAGAGGAAGCTGGAATGTGCTTTATATTATTTTTAGGATTCACATGGGAAAAGGATGGGGAGTGGGGGGTACTGCTTCACTTCCAGCACTATGGAATATTATCAAGCCAGAAAAAAATTTTTTTTTATTCCAATTGATCTCATCTTTTGCAGGAGGGTTATTTGAGAAATAACAGATGCGGTGGCTCAGTGGCTAAAACACTGAGCTTGTCGATCGAAAGGTCGGCAGTTCAGCGGTTCGAATCCCTAGTGCCGCGTAACAGGGTGAGCTCCTGTTACTTGTCCCAGCTTCTGCCAACCTAGCAGTTCAAAAGCAGGTGAAAATTGCAAGTAGAAAAATAGGGACCACCTTTGGTGGGAAGGGAACAGCGTTCCGTGCACCTTTGGCGTTGAGTCATGCCGGCCACATGACCACGGAGACGTCTTTGGACAGCACTGGCTCTTCGGCTTTGAAATGGAGATGAACACTGCCCCCTAGAGTCAGGAACGACTAGCACATATGTGCAAGGGGAACCTTTACCTTTACCTTATTTGAGAAATACATAGCAGCCAGAGAAAGAGAAATACAAGTAGTCCTTGACTTACAACAGTCTGTTTAGTGACTGTTCGAAATGATCTGAATAAAAGTGACTTACGACCATTTTTCACACTTTATGACCGTTGCAGCGTGTGGCCTTAAGTGGAAGATTACCTGTAATGGCAAGAAGTCAGCTGAAGGTGGCCACAGAGAGAAGGGAGTGGGCCTGGATCTCCCCCAGCCTTCTCCGGCCTCTTCCCAGAGTGGGAAGGAAGGGAGGAAAGCTAGTAAGGCATGAAGCTTTGGGAACCTTCTCCGCAGCTGGGCAAGACCAGAGATTGTTCAGTCACCTGGAGGAAGAGATGCTGGCAATTTGGCAGTTCAAATCTCACCAGGGTCAAGGTTGACTCAGTCTTCCATCCTTCCGAGGTGGGTAAAATGAGGAGCCAGATTGTTGGGGGCAAGAGGCTGACTCTGCAAACCGCTTAGAGAGGGCTGTAAGTCTAAGTGCTATTCCTTCCTTCCTTCCTTCCTTCCTTCCTTCCTTCCTTCCTTCCTTCCTTCCTTCCTTCCCAGTGGTTAGAATGCAGTATTGCAGACTAACTCTGCCCACAGTCAGGAGTTCAAGCTTCACCAGGCTCAAGGTTGACTCGGCCTTCCATCCTTCCAAAGTGGCTTAAATGAGGACCCAGATTGTTCGGGAGCCAATAGGCTGACTCTTTAAACCGCTTAGAGGGGGCTGTAAAACCTTGTGAAGTGGCATATAAATCTTAAGTGCTCTTGCTATGAGAGAAGCTGCCTTGAGGATGTTGTTACAGCACAACTGCCCCGGCCTCTGGCCATTTCCAAATCTCCTCCAATGGACGCCTGGCCCAGCTCCAAGAACAGCAGAAGCAGGAAGGACAGGAGGCCGTGGGAACCAGTCTTCGGCGACAGCTCCCTGCCGGGGCTCAAGCCAGCTGCTTCCCCTCCCTGGGCTGCGTTCGGCACGGAAGTCAGGGACAATGTGCCAGTCCCCAGCCAAATGCCGGCAGCCCAAACAGGCACAAATAATGTGCATGCAGTACACCCAAGGCATCACGCAGAAATCCCAGGCTGCCTTCCCCCCACCCCCCCTCTCCAGCTGTTGCTCCAAAGGATGCCTGGGGTTCAGATGGGGCAGCCCCAGTGAAGCCCTTAGGTGGGTTTCATTCAGATTCGGGAGTTGAGGTCTTCAGGGGGGATAGGCCTGTCTTTATTTAAAAAAACACATTGATTCCCTGATATCCAGATGTTCTAAATTAGACTGCTGTTTTTGGATTACCTTGTGTTCCATCCATTTTTTGGGGGGGTGTATCTCTGTCTTTTTCTCCCCTGGTTGCTGGGTGGGCGTGGCCTAGTCGGCCTCCATGGGGGAGTGTTTTTGCCCTCCCCAGGCTCCGGAGGCTTTTCTCAAGCCTCCGGGAGAGCGAAAATGGCCTCCCCAGGCTCCAGAGGCCCTCTGGAGGCTGGAAACAGGCCCATTTCTGGCCTTACTGAACTTCCAGTAGGCCCGTTTTTCGCCCTTCCAGAGCCTCCGTGTGCGCCCGGCACTTACCTGCATCCAAAATGGACCGCATGGGGACTCCTGGGAGGGATGGGGAAGGGCGGGGCCAATCAGGAGTGGGATTTGGGGGTTCTCCGAATTGCACAGAATCTTAGCTAGATGTTCTCCCAAACCCGTGCGAACACCCAGCAGCCCACCTCTGAATGTACACCAGTGTTTTTCAACCACAGCAACTTTAAGCCCTGTGGACTTCAACTCCCAGAATCCCCCAGCCAAACATGTTTGCCAAGGAATTCTGGGAATTGAGGTCTACACATCTTAAAAGCTGCTAAGGATTGTTCAGTTGGGTTTGCCTGACGCCAAACCATAAACTGGCCGACTCTACTGTAGTGGTTAAAACACCAGACTAGAAACTGGGAGTCTGTGAGTTCTAGTCCTGCCTTAAGGCACAAAGCCAACTGGTTATCCTTTGGCCAGCCAGTCACATTCAGCCCTAGGAAGGAGGCAATGGTAAACCACTTCTACTTGCCCAGAAAACTGTGAGGACTTTTCCAGGCAACCTGCAAGAATTGGACAGGATTTGAACAGAAGAATAAAATAATAGTTTAGAGTACAATGCTGTATGAACCATACTGTGTCTGTTGTTGATGGTTCCATAAAAACTCTGGAGCAGAGGTGGGTTTCAGCAGGTTCTGACCAGTTCTGGAGAACCGGTAGCAGAAATTCTGAGTAGTTCGGAGAACCGGTAGTAAAAATTCTGACTGGGCCCGCCCCCATCTATTCTCTGCCTCCCGAGTCCCAGCTGATTGGGAGGAAATGGGGATTTTGCAGTAACCTTCCCCTGGATTGGGGTGGGAATGGAGATTTTACAGTATCCTTCCCCTGCCACGCCCACCAAGCCACATCCACAGAACCCGTAGTAAAAAAAATTAAAACCCACCACTGCTCTGGAGCGTAGGTGAGTTGAATAAATTATGGTTCTCATAGCTTAAGTCTTGCAAGTACAGTCTATGCATGAATGAATGCCTCATCAAACTCGGGGGAATTTGAATTCAACTACTTTCTAGCCCTTTTGATAACCTGATACTAACTAATCTCAATTAATAGGCATTTGGGTAATTCCTTTGTGCAATGCATATTTAAAAAAAAACAAGCCAAGCCAATCACTTCAATCCCATTGTCATTGGCCAGACCCTGAGGACACGCCTGCTTTCTGCCAAATTAAAACTCATGTCCAAATGAATCCATGCGATACTGTAGTAACTTCGGGGGAAAGCTAACTAATAGTCTCAGCCAGAGATTGAGTCCGCTGTGCAAACACAACCGCTAAGGCAGGAGTGTGGAAAATTCAGCCCACGCACTGCACTGGATGGGGCCTCCTGACATCCATCCCTTTTGCAGCCCCAGAGCCTCTGAATGGGGAGGGAAAGGAAATGGATCTGGCAAACAGTCAGAGCCTACTTTGGGAATCTCGTACAGTCCTTGAGTAATAGGAGTGGTGCATCGCTGCACTAAATCAAAAGTAAATAGATCACATGTCGGTTGAATGCTGGAAACATGGCTTAATATCGCCCTACCTTGTGCTCGGGCCTGGATTTTTGAGAAAGATCTGTTGTGGCCCGTCAGCGGCCTTGCAGCTAGTAGCTGATTCTGACAGCGAGGAGGCTGGTGTGGTGCTGCGCCAGCAGCCTGTGCAGTTGGCACTCGAGTTGGACAATGAGGAGGCTGGAGAAGATGTGATGTCAGAGGCAGGGATTCAGCCAGGGCCTTCAGAACCTCTAGAAGCTCCCATAAGTGAAGAGGAAGAAGAGGAGGAGCCTCTTCTCAATGCATGGGCGCGCAGAGCTGCCAAAAGGCAGGAGTGGCTCCTCAGGAGGAGGTCTCCTCGAGAGTAAGGCTTGGGGCTAATTGGCCTATTTAAGGAGGAACACCGACTGAAGCAATTTGCAGGGAACAACTCCGTTCACATACCTTTGTGTCTTGTCTTGCTTATCAGCTTCCTGCAAATTGCTTCTGGGCATTCTGCCAACCACAGTAAGCTTTCAGTATTATTCTTTGAATTTTTGGCAGCTGTTAATGCAGTTAATTAACAGCCATTGTTGTAAAAAACTGGTTTATTTAGTAAACTAAGGTTTGAACAGACTTTGTGTGTGCTGCTTTCTTTGGGGTCCGTAGCTGGGGCAGAATAAGATCTCGGATGGGTTGCAACATTAATTTTTCATCAACCTTGTAGTTACAAATAGTTGCTGAACAAGGCAGTTGCTACAGGAGGAACACCTGTATGATTCAATGGTACATTAACGTCTTCTTAACATTTTAAGCTTTTCCCAGAAATCTCCTAACGTACAATAGTACACAGATCCCACCAAAAGATCCCACCTTATTGTAGGTTCTGATCTGATAGCAAGTTTATTCAACAAAGCAAGAGGATTGGCAAAAACCTTGCATTTATTCAGCCAATAATGCTCCTGACCAGATCTGATATTTGATTTTACTCCACCGCCAGATAAAACGAGAGTACTGATCTGAGAAAAGGTTGTGGCCTTCTATTAAGGAAGTCAGAATTGCGATGCTGAGATGCCTAATTTTTAGTGAAATGTCTAATTTTAGAATGGAATCTGGCTGCGCGGCCTTTAGCCTCCTCAACCAGTAGATGGCAGTGTAGCCTTTAAAAGGAGAGAGAGTGAGAAACTTCAATAGAATTTGCAGCTGGAATTGAAAGGCTGAAATGAAAATTCTTATTCCATATTTCTGTATGTTATTTTTATAGCCTTCACCATATTATTCAGACCTATTCAAAATTACCAACGTTAAAAGTCTAGGTTCCCTTCTTATTATTAATTCACCTTGAAAAAATATATTGTATTAATCCCCCTTTCTCTAACTTCCAACCCTATTTTAACTTGTCTCACTATTATTTTGAAAAAAATATTCCCTTTTTTACCCATCATCTCTCACCCGCTTTAAGCTTTGATTTTTCCATTTCTTAGCTTGTCTTCCATATTCCTCTCTTGGATCTTCTCTACCTGCTTCCACTATTTGGCCAATCCTATTAAATATTTCTCCCTTCTCGGCCCTATTCCATTGTCTCAGTTTCAAATTATCTACTCTTACCCCTGTTCCTCTCCCAAAAAAGTCTTCAGTTCCTCATTAACGTCCCTTAAAATGCTCTCCTCTTGGTTTATTTCATCAATCATTCTTATTTTGATTTTTGTCTCCTTTCTATCGTTTTTTTCCTACTTGTTGCTTTGTCTGTTCTGCTTTTCCAGCTGCTCTGGGCAGTATCCTGGGCAGTAACCGCTGAGACAATTTCTCCATCCATCTGGTTTAATCCTCTTCCCATATTATGTCTTGAGGAGAGGACAACTGGGACAGGCCCTGAATAAGTGAGCATCAAAGCTGGGACCAAGTTCTGGAGATGTTCTGAAGAACCTCACTGTGTGGTCACTTGCCCACTATGCTGTTCTCAGGTCCAGTAGAGCAGGGGTCTCCAACCTTGGCAAGTCCTGTGGACTTCAATTCCCAGAATTTGCTTTGCTGGCTGAGGAATTCTGGGAGCTGAAGACCACAGGTCTTAAAATTGCAAAAGTTGGAGACCCCTGCAGTAGAGGACACATCACCCGTGTTGGCCACACCCCAGTGGCCTGTCCAGATGGCTTGCATTTGTAGAACGCTTCTTGGTTCCAGATGCCACTCTTCGTTCTCCGTGGCTGGATCACGGCTCCTCCAAGCCACGTCCACGCCTCCCAAGGCCAAGAACTGCTTTAGAGGATTTCTCTTCGGAAGACCAGCAAAGCAGCAAAGCTTTGCATCCTCCTCTCTCTCTCCTTCTCCCTCCCTCCCCCCCCACCGCCTCCTTTGCACACTGCGTCAGCTTCCATCATCTCAACTTGCGCAGGGAATG